TTATCATCCATTCAGAACCGTTTCTTTTTAACTTTCCACAATTCTAACTGGCCACGTTCCGCGTGATCCACATTCTTAAATTTGATTGGTTTATTCAGCCTGGTGGGCGGGACTTATAGGAAGTATATTACTGAATGACGCACCCTCGCTTCCTCATTGTGGTGAGAAACAGGCGGTGAGTATTATGTCTTAGTACTTTGACCTTTATTACATCAGTATTAAAATTAAGGTTTAACACGCGTAATTAAAGCATTTATGATATAAGCAGCTTTTATATGGTATGTAAAAACTCTGTTAATCGGCTGCATGTGAAAGTCGTACATACGTCTTGTTTATCTTGGCGCGCAATGGCTGTTCGGCTAACGTACTAAGCTAACGTTAGCTTATTCAAACCTAGCACCAGAAACTGAGTTTTCCCTCAAGGCGCTGGGCACTTGAATCGACGATTACTTGCTGTATTCCTGTTCTCGTGATTTACGAGCATAAGTACTTTTAAAGAATATGCCGTAAATAAACTTAATGTTTGTCGAGGTTTCGTAGTCCGCTACTGTTAAGATATCACACGAGGCCGTGGCGCATATAAACGTGCAGGAGAATTCTTGCTTGGTTGGTACGAAACTTCATTTAAGTTCTGCTTAACGTAACGACGTTTTATTTAGTCGTGTTTGCGTGTATGTAGGATGAAGTAAAATTTTAAAGTATTTGCATAAACTGGTTTGACTTGATTGGCTTCTCAGGAAGTCCACTGTGAAAGGTTTCAGTTTAGCAGCAGGCGTGGTTTCGTGTTCTCATTCTTCTAACGTTACGTAGATTTGCAAAAAGCCATAGCCCATTACAATAACCACAGTACTTTGCTTTGCTGGCAACTCATTGTAAGTGTATCTTGTCACAGTGCGTTTCAGGCTCTGCATAACACATTAGCGAAGATGGTGAAGATCTTCATTGGGAACCTGCCTCCGCAGGCAGAAGCAGATGAAATAAAGACTCTGTTCACTCAATATGGAACGGTCACTGAGTGCGCCATTATCAAGAACTTTGCCTTCGTCCACATGGATGATCGCAAAAGTGCAACAAAGGCAATTAAAAACCTTCATTTATACAAGCTGCATGGAACACCCATCAATGTTGAAGCGAGTCGGGGCAAAAACCAGGGCCCCGTGAAGCTTCATGTTGCCAATGTGGAGAAAGGAGCAGATGAAGAGCTCAGAGCGCTGTTTGAAGAGTACGGCACAGTTGCCGAATGCGCCATCATTAAGAACTTTGCCTTTGTACACATGAGCAATTCCGATGAGGCCATGGATGCCATCAAGGGGTTGGACAACTCTGAATTCCAAGGTAAAAAATCCAGTCTTACTTCAATATCCTTTTGCATGTTTATCACATTTGCTAATATGAAATGTTTTTGCATTTGCAGGCAAACGAATTCATGTGCAGATATCAAAGAGTCGACCAAGAGGCGAGGAGGAAGATTACGGCCCCCCAGACAGTGGATTTTGGCCACCCCGTTTCTCTGGTGACCGGCCTGAGCCCCCTGGTTATCCTAGGGGTCGCTTTGGGTATCCCCCTGGTCCCCCACCACCACCACCCCCCATGCCTCCC